GCCCCCACCCCCTTTACTCTCATCAACAAATGAGATTGACATCAATGCTAATGCTGAAGCCAGATACATTGGAGTTATGCTTTCAACGGTTAACTGCATGATACTTGAGTGATATTTTTTCAATGTTGGTGACTCTATTCGAACGTAAAAGTTTACTCAGTTAGCCCCTAATCTTTCTCTTTCCTTCCGTGGTGGTCATTTTGATTGTGTAACTTTTCGAAGTTTGAAAAGAAATACAAAAAATAATGAGGGGATAACTAAGTAGTTTCATTAACAGAACTTAGGAGATGCTAACTGATCAGTTTTCTTTTAGTTTTACATCATTTAGATTATTCCTGGTTGTGTGCATGCAGCTGATAACAAGGGAGATATTCGATGCAAATCTGTTGCTGCACCCAAAGTAAGCATTTCAAATGCTCAGGTTTCTCATGACCAGGATCAATCAGAAAGTATTGTTCAGAGTTCTGGTGAGCTGGAAGTAAACATAGAAGATGAAGGCCTGCAAGCCACTTGCTTATCCATACGAGAAGAGCATTCAGAATTCAGGTCCCGTCTTAGTCCTCTTGCCGCTCGTGCAGCTTTGGCTTTGCTAGTATCGAGTACTTACAAGCATATTGCTATAGGTGGGACTGAGCTATTCAACTCCCGTGACAGTGACAATATGTCTAGTAACACATTATCTTCTGAAGCAACCAAAGCTCATAAGAATGAAAATGAGACCTCAGATGCTAGAAAAACTCTCTCAGCAGTTCAGAAAGGTTTTGAAAATCAAAACAGTGATTCTCATGTGAAAGATTCTGCTGAAGAGATTAAGTTAAGGGCCTCAACCAACACGAGAAGGTTGACTCGTTCAGCAGTCCAAGAAGAAAAAGATAAATCAACTATGCCAATTAAACAAGGGTTGGAAGAGAGCAAGTCAGCTCATATTACAGGATCAATTTCCTATGAAGGAAATGTCACCATTCATGAAAGAAATGTATTGAAAAAGAAGAATGATGCATCAAAAAATAAGAAAGCAGTCTCTTCGCCACTTCATGCAGAGAGTAACATTCCGATGGAAGAAAGTAATGAAAAGCCGATGCCTGGTGATGCTGGAGCCATTCAAGATATAAATGTTCCAATGAAGACTTGTGCTAAGGACAACAAGTCAACGGTTCCAACCAACGTGAGGAGGTTAACTCGTTCCACACATTCTTCTGAGGAGAATTTAATAGTACCTGAAAACTATGGAATGGAAAATAAAAGTGGTGGATCAAGGAAGAAGAAAGTTGTCTCTCCTTCATCTGACAAGGACAACACTATGCCTGGCGAAGAAATAAATAAAAATAACATGTCTGGTGCTGTGACAAGACTTGGAAACATTCGACAAAGTGAAGGTTGTATATGTTTATATTTACATGTGCATGTATATATTCTTGTCTAGTTATAATAATTTGTGTTATGTTACTCATGCAGAAAGTATATCTGATTTGCGGAACATCTCAAACATTTAACTCAATTTGACATTCTGGTCTTTATCACTTTTTCAGTGTTTTAGAACCGACTTAAAAGTGGTTTTGTCAGCCCTTGTTCAATTTTGACATATTTAAACTGTAGTTTGAATCTCTTTGATTACATGATTTAAGAAAGTCCTGTCTACTCAACGGTTTCCATTTTTCTCTCTTAAATTTCAGCATTTTAAGCTTTGAATGATGTCAATGGCAGGAAAGGTTTCAGGAAGTGGTGGTAAAACACAAGGCCAGAAGAGGAAGTCTACTTCCTGCAGTAGGCAAGAGCTGCGATTTTCTCCACGATTAAGGTTTCTCCCTCGGACTCGCTCACAGAACAAGTCTTAAACTGTCTTCCTTCATCAGAATTATTCACAACCAAGCGAGGCAGCCTTTTGGGGACTTGAAAGAGGTAAAAGCACTGCTTTCTTTACATATGTTTAACAGAGAGAACTGGGACTATAAGTGAAACGAATACAAAGCATGCTTGTTTGTATTTGGGATCATCTATGTGAAGTGGATGGATGGGTGAACATAGCAATAGCTTAGTATGGCTCTTTCAGGCCTTGTTATATCTATTGTCCTTCTTCTGAGTTTTAGTATGTCCTGTTGAATGAATCGCAGATGGAATAGACAGCATGGTTGGACTATATTTCAGATAGCAGAATAGGGACCATCTCAGCGTCAAACTATATCTGTCTTGTTGGCTTCTCCATGGTTTATGGTTTTATTTGTTGTTTCCTCTTGAAAGCATTATTTATAATGTAAATTCCATTGGTCTTTCCATTTGAGTCCAATCAACCATGCTACACCACAGTTGAGACTGTGTGAAATGGTGACCAAAGATGAGCCAACTCACAATAGTACAGCACTGGGCTCTGAATATTCACATGATTGCAATTTGGTGCATAAGTGCTTGGTGGGTTAACGTAGAAGCCAATTTTGAGCCCATACGTAAGAAGGTACATCGCATATTGGGCAATTATATGTTTTACCCCCATGGATAGAACTGAGCCTATTAGCTTTTGGAAAATGATACACAACTAACTGTCCATAGTGCAAGTTTTAATGGAGCAAGAATGATATCACATAATGTGGATTCTTAAGCCAAGTAAGTCATCATCACGTATATTTCTCTGGACAGCTATGAGTCTCACTTAGTTGAAAAATATGTTTTAAACTGAGCAACCAATAAGCACATGATCTCGAAGATGCTTAGCTTGAGCATAAGTGATTTTCCATTTGTTTGATTAGCTCAAGTTGAGGTGTAAAACACTAAAAGTTGTGGCATATGAGCTGTGCTCATGCTGATGATGTTTAGTGAATTTGTCTCTACATTCATGTGTAGTCTACCTATTGAATTGAAACACTCCTCACACGAAGAGGGCTGATAACCTTACGATTAGGATATCAATGACACATGCTCGGAATCCAATTATGGATGTGAGCTGGTAGCATGCATGTTTTGATTCGGTCGTACTTATTGTCCAGTTTGTTTAATTGTTGGAGTATTGTTGTATATATTTTGTATTTCAACGGAAATTAGGTATATTTCTTCTTCATATTTATTTTCTGGACTGGCACCTTCTTTTCTCTGTTGGCATTTCCTATTGCATTCTAACCTTTATTGTATCAAGTCACATCATTGTGAGACCTTACTGTACCCTATTACAAAGGGCGCAAGTCACATCAAGTCGAATTTACACCAATTTTGAGTCATACCCTTTTGCTTCAGACTCTGTTACCAATCCTGACACTAACCTATTGGGAACTCCAAGTTGAGGAAGGTAACTAGGAGAGACACTTCCATGTTGCAGGTAAGTTATTTCGAGGGAGGCCTGTTTTCATGCATTGCCGAAACATGAATTTGTTTTACATGATATCACCCGTGTGCATGTATGCTTTCTGTTAGGAGCAAGCAGGTGTTTGTGAAATTAAGCAACCAGGTAGGCCTGTTTGCGTGTTCTCTTGCTAAAGACTGTTATGTTCTTAGACGGTTAATCAAAGACCATTCGATTAAGTGAAATTTTATTTGAATGTGTGGTCATAATTCACAGTCTAACGACGTATCATGACAGATTATCTAGCTGGGAAACATATTCACACATGAAATTGTAGTTTGTTAGTAATTGTTGTCATAGTTAGCTCAGAGCATGTTACCAAGTCCTTTTCACACATGATGATACATGGTGAACCTCCTCAACACATTTATTAGATGGATTAGATTTATAACAGGAAGTCACATTAATATATAGTTGCTTCCGTCATGATACTTGGATTTATTTTTTCCCCCCACTCAAATCTGTAGTTAGGCAGTCTCCTTCCTGTCTTAATTAAATATAAGCGATGACGTGATGGAAATGAAGATTTAATAAGTGCTTATAATATTTGAACTATAGAAGTCCCAAGAAGCTTTTATAACTGAGTACTTTGACAACTGAATGCCTTCATTTCATTTGGTTATTTCATAGAGCCAAAACAGAAAAACCCACGAACCTGGTCGTGCATATGCCATTACCCTGCCTTGTGGTTCACCAATTTCTTCCATTTCGACACAAAGCAGCTTCAACAAACATTTCACAACTGTGTAATCTGCCCGTGAAAGGCAGGGATGAATGGATCTGATTCTATAACCTGCACAAACAAGATCTGGTTTTCTTCTGCCGACTGACACAATAATGGCCATGATAACAAAATTACGTTCTAAAAAATATTTTTATTCTCATTCCTGGTTAAATTAATTTTAATCATCCAAACCAAACCCATCAATTTTTCATGTCACTTTCTTGGGATATAATTTTTTTAATAAATAAGCAGTTCCGAAAATGTTGGGTTGTACAAAAACAACGATTACAAAGTCCCCATCATCGGTGCTTACTAAAAGCTACAAGACAAACAAGCTTATACAAGGATATCAGAAGATTCAATCTGATTAAGAGTTTTTGTTTTATTTTTAATACAAACGATAATTTAAACTACAAAGGAAAAAAGGATTTCTCAGACGCACATGATTAGGAGATTTTTAGTTGCTAATGATGGTAATCAACCGGCCACGTTAATCCAACCTCTTTGGACTATTATCCCACCTAAATACCATCATATCTAGATTTGACAAAAATTCAAATTTTCTCAGATGGGGCAGTTATGTGAAACTTTTCTAATAAAAACTAAGATCTCTCCTCTCACTTTTTTCTTTCCCCATATTTTAATTAAAAGAAGTAGAAAAGAGAATTCACAAATTTGTCAAAAGACATCATAACAGCTCTATAAAATAAAATCTTTCACAACTCTTATTTTCTCCTGTAGCAAAAAGATAAAGAAAAGGTCCTACAAATCCTCTGGTTAAAATGTATAGTTAGGACAAAGCTTCTAGTATAAATAATAGAAGTTGCGCCAGGAGCAGACATGTCCTCAAAGGAGCAAATGTGTCTTCCCTCTCCTCCAAACCAAACCTAGCCCTTCATGCTGATCATCTTTTATGCAACAAGCTTCTCAAAACTGAAGGGCAAAAACCCTTCGATCTCATTTCACACATCACTAATTCCTTTTTTCATAAGTAACCCTTAAGACAAAAATGGCAGCCTCTACAACAATGGGAGATTACCAAACCCAATCGTCTTGGCGGCCACGCCTAGGCTCCGCTCTACGCACTGCCTTGGCTTGCACCATAGTCGGCTGCACCACCCTCTATGGACCTCCACAACTCCGAAAGTACTTGACATACCCATCTTTTTCTTACATGACCACCATTCTAATTGTCCCGGACGCAAAGCTTGGTGATGTCCTGAGAAGCTGTTGGCATGTCATGTATGCCACTGTCCAAGTAATGGTGCCTTCTGTGCTTACCCTTTGGCTGGTTGGCCCAAAAAATTTCGACATCTTGCTGGCAGCAGTGGCTGTGGCAGTCGGTGCTTTTGTAGTGGCTTTGCCAGAGTCTACACACTTGATGTCTAAGCGGATTGCATTTGGGCAGCTTGTGAATGTTTATGTAGGCACTGTGGTTCATGGGGCTCAAACTGGAGTTGTCATGCACCCTCTTGGCGTTGCAGCAAGCACAGCCCTTGGAGCTCTGGCTTCTGTCCTTGCTTTGTTGCTTCCCTACCCTCGGCTGGCTTACTTCGAGGTAAATCATTAATCTTCTTGCTTTTACTCATGCACATGCACATGTATTGTGGCAAGTCAAATAACAGCCGTTTATATTGTTAGACTATGAATCTGAACCAGCTATTCACTCGGGTTCTTAGTCTAGCAATGTCTCAAATCAGGTCATTTTCTCTTGTCAAACTTTATGTTGCTAGGCATATTGTTATTTTGCAAGACTATAAATCGGAATCATATATTCAAACAAGAATCCAACGGAGTAAGGACTTGGATTCTTAATTTGGAAATAGGAGTGCATTGTGTTGCTAGACAGTCTAGCAAGAGACGGTTTCATTGTAATTCGTGACGGGGTTTTGAGCATGATAAAATATAAGCACAGAAAACATATAGAGGATCTTATTCATTGTCTCTAAACCAAATACGGATAAAACGAAGAGACCTCCATACGTAGGAGTGAAAGATGTGTTTTGGGAAGTGCATACAACATACATGCCTACATATATTTATCAATTAATAAAACCAATAATGTTTTGCATTTTCTATCTTTTAAAAACTCACCTGGTCTTTAGCTTTGACAGCTGAACCAACCAGAGTGAAGGAAATTATAATGCATGCGTCCTAGTTGCCAAGTCCAGCTAATTTGGAAACAAAGTTCAAAACAAAAGCATCATACGGCAAATGGCAGCTTGTTGATTGGGATTATTTAGAATCTCAGAATGTCATGTCCAACAAGGAAAAAAAAAGTGTTTATTGGTGGCTCTCAAGGGCAGGACTTAGTCCATGCGTGCTGTTCATGGACAGTTGCCTAGTTTGGGATTCGTGGTCCAATTAAAGCCCCTTTGGTCCTGTCTGAATATTGTCTCATAAACCAGACAACAAAAAAGGCAAAACCCTATTCATGGTATAATGCAAACTGAAAAGTTTTATTGAAAGATCATAACATTTGATTAAGAACCTGTATTATTGTGTTTTCTCTGTTAAATGAAACATCCCAAATATTCATTTGTCTAAATCTGATGTAACGTCTAACACAAGCAAACATGGACAGAACTTGCCTCTACAAAATCGGCTTGTAAGGAAAGGGTGCCCAAGAACTCGTATATTATATCAAGATCTCCTATTTTTCTAACGTGGGATAATATTATATTAAGAACTCATGAATTTAAGATGACTTTTTTTTTCTTTGATAACCCAATTGCAGTTGGTAAATACTGATGGTTGTGAATTGAAATGCATTCACAGGTCAAGAAATCATGGAGGATGTATGCTGAAAATGCTTCCCAGAGGCTAACTCACTTTGTTGAGGCCGTCTCTGCCCAAGACAAAAGAGGAGCACTTGAATTCATTTCTCAAGAACAATCTCTCTCTAAAGCAGCAGCTAAGCTTCATCAAAGCATCAGCAACAATCTGGTAAGCTAACATTGACTCATGTCCAATGGAAAAAATGAGCGAGAGCTTCATTTAGTTTGTTCATTCAGCTAAAGATTAAGGCCATTCATTTTCTTGTAAGCAGGTAGGGATGGTGTGGGAGAGACCACAGATGAAATTTCTAAAACCAAATTATATGAAGTTGGGTGAACAGTTGCAAGAAACTGAGATTCCATTGAGGGGGATGGAGATAGCTTTATCTAGTTACTCTTCATTTCCTCTTAATCTGATTGATGAAGAGCTAAGAGGTCATTTACAACGTTCAGAAGTACAGATAAGCCTAAGGCTGCTGCAATCTAGGTACTCAATGCCTTCTGATGCAACTACAGCTCCAGAGACAAACACAGAGATTTTGGACAGTGCCCTTTGGATTGGCAAACCTACCACCACAAACCATGACAACATGGCGGCTTCATTCTTCTTGTACTGCATGGACCTCCTGCTAGAAAACCAACCCATTGCCCGAAATCCCGGAAACACTTTGAAATCTAACCCTAACCAAGAACCAAGCGGTGCACAAAATCAAGCGCACTGTAACTTCAAAAGGGTTTGGAAGAACATAATGCCAAGCCTCAGGAGTTTAGTTTTTGCCCTCAAGTGCTCACTGGCATTAGGCCTTGCTGTGTTATTCGGTTTGATATATAACAAAGAAAACGGATACTGGGCAGGCCTCACCATTGCCATCGGTTTCGTGACAGGACGGCAAGCCACATTTACAGTTACAAATGCTCGAGCACAAGGAACGGCGATGGGGTCTGTCTATGGAGTCATATGGTTATTTCTTTTCCAAGGAATTGAGCACTTTAGACTCTTACCACTCATACCTTGGATCTTTTTCACCCATTTTCTTAGGCATAGCAGGATGTATGGCCAAGCTGGTGGGATCTCAGCAGCCATTGGGGCATTGCTAATCTTGGGTAGGGAAAATTATGGTCCTCCAAGTGATTTTGCAATTGCAAGAATGACAGAGGCATGCATTGGACTGATTTGTTTCGTTTTAGTAGAGACTGTCTTTTATCCTATGAGAGCAGTGACCCTAGCAAGAAATGAGCTTTCTAAAAGCATGGGGGCACTTCGAGATTGCATCAAAGACATAAATCTTTGTGTACCGGCTTCTGCCGGACTGAGGGAAAAGAAGAGGAAGCTAAAATCCCACCTTAAAAAGTTAGAAAACTTCCTCCAAGAAGCTGAAACAGAGCCTAATTTCTGGTTCTTGCCCTTTAAGGGTGCAAGTTACAGTAAGGTGCTAGGATCTTTATCGAAAATGGCTGATCTTTTACTATTTGTGGCCTGTGAAACGGAGTTCCTCTCACAAGTAACACAGAAATTGGGAGGTGCTTCAGAGGAACTAAGGCAACATATGAATGCTGACCTTGAGCTTCTAAAGGAAAAAATTAACTCTTCACTGAAATGCCTTGAGGAGGTGACTTCGATCAAGTCCGTTGCAGTATTTGAGACAGAGGCGCAAGACGATTACCACGACAGCGAATTGGGCAAACCAGCAAACCCATTCAGGATTTTGGGTGAAGGAGATGAAGAGGTTGAGATCATTGTACGTATTCTTCTTCAACATTTTGAGGAAGTAGCTGACAACGTACATAATAGTGACAGTGAAGAGAAACGTAAAAGCCAAATGGTTCTTTGTTTGGCTAGCCTGGGATTCTGCATCCGAATTTTGACGAGTGAAACAATGGAGATGGAGAAACAAGTGAGGAAACTAGTAAAATGGGAGAGTCCTTCAAGGCACAAACAATTTCTTAATATTTGTTGTAAAGCTGATGCACTGGATGCACTGGATGCACATACATAGCGCCTAATAAGAGGTGTGTTAGCTTGACCATACATCTAACCGATTGGCATTCAGACCAACCCAAAAAAAAAAACAAAAACAAAACCGATTGGCAAATGCTATTAGATTTGTCAATCCTTCATTGACCTCAGTACGCATTGTAATTTGGCTAGATCATGTAGACAACTATATGAAATATAATCCTTCTGAATATGCACCAAAAGGATTCTTGTTTTCCATGCATTTTACTTTTAAAATTCACAAAGGAAATCACAACTTTGAAACCCTTTCGAGAACATGTTCTTTCGCATTTGTTACAAACAGCAGATTACTGCCACCGCCAATGGTGAGCTCTCAAACAGAACCAGCATCGCATTCAATCACGAGCACATCCTTTGAATGTTAATACAAAGGTGTGGAAAACTTCATATGAAGCAGATATAAATTAGTGAAAGAAAATCACCCGATTATAACAATAAACATTCACATTGCATAACAAAGCTTTTGACTAATTCAAGTTGAATCCATTGTGAAACAGCTCAGGCTACAAAATTAACAGGGTATCTCCATTAGTTGCAAGAAAAATGCATCTCTCTGTTGCAAATACATAAAAAAGGAAACAGATCCTTAGTTGCCTTCGTATTTTGGGTCGGCCATCACATAATGATACGCTATTACCAATACAAATATGAAGATGCCAAGAAAATTGGCAAAGAAGCCCAGGTCCTGATCATCCATCATCTGTAACATCAAATGCAACAATTGGAAAATAAGCAAAAGCACTCAGTGTACCTCAATATAATTTCTAAAACTTGTTAAATAGGTACCCTACATGTACACAAGTTGGAAATATTGAAACTAACTGACTAACAAAAATATCACATCAAAATGGAGTTCAAACTCAAAACCATATTTGCAATAAGCAAAAAGAACTTTTTTTCCCATGAAATATAACCAAGCATCAAAAGAAAGGGATAGTAGACGGCCATCAACCAGAAGATAAGCAACATCCTAGAACTTAAGAAAATCAACAAATATGAACCGCGTAATTGATCCATCTACGCTATTCCCTAATTGAAGCAAGTTAGAAGAAATTGGGTTGTAGTTATAACTTGCAACTTCTAGTTCTAGCCACACCACCCTCTTTTGCAGATTAGACAAAAACGCTTTTGGGTTCTGAAAAAAAAAAACCTCTAACCCAACTAAGCCTTTAAGATGAAGAAATCACACTGCCATTCTCCCTACCAGAAAATACAGAAATTCCCATTGACAACATTTTGTAAATCATTGAACACCCATTATACCAAAATTCTTGGTTCAATTTATATTAAACAAATCTTATTGTTCCCTTGAATTACCCTACATTTTCCACAATTAGACTCACACTATCAACTATTGCTTAAATTTTGCATCCATGTTTAGCTCGCAGGCCACAGCCCATTTCACCTACCGACTAAAGTTTGATTCTTTCAACCAAACCAACCTTTTGGCGTAACATTAGAAAGCAAAACAAAACTACAAATTAATCTGTGAAGACTATAGATCTACGAAAGGGATGAACAACACCATAATTGCTTAGCAGAATTGAAAACATTGAATTAGAATTGCCATCATAAACAACGAGATATTACGGATCAAGATCACATAATTACAAGAATTGAAAAAAGGGTTGAGATTCTTACAATTCTGGAAGAGATTGCTCAGTCAATGGCGAAGATATAGACTTCTGACAACTGCTGAAACAGAGTGAGGAAAGAGCGTGCTGAAGCGACTTGTACCCTTTATACAAGGGAATGCATTTTGCCCAATATTTTACGGTTCACGAACGACGTCGTTCTATGGGAATTTAGAAAAAGGCCAAAAAGTATTGTAGGTGTGGCTGCTGGGATTCGAGCCCAGGTCTCCACGGCCACAACGTGGAATTCTTACCACTAAACTACAGCCACTAGATGTTAGTTTGTCTACAAATATTATATTTATATAAAAGAATGAGAGAAAGAAGCAACTATTCATTTTTTGAATGTTTTCTTCAAAACTCACTTTAGATTAGATTGGTAATGCATGAAACTTTTTTTTTTATCTTATAAAAGTAATATTGGAGGAAGGGAGAATTGAACTTGATACCTTGGGTGCATGTGTAAATGCTCTTAACCACTTAAGAATTGAGATACAATCCTCTTGTAGTAAGGGCTTGTTTGGGAGTGATTTTAGGAATGCCAATAATCACTTTTCCATATAATCACTTTAATTGGTGGGGAGAAGCACCTTGCTTAAAATCATTTAAAGTATATGGAGAAACACATAGGATATGCTTGTCCCCATAAGTGATTATTGTCATCCCAGAATCACTCCAAAAAAGCCCTAAAACATGGAAGTTAGAAGTGATTCTTATGCAAACCAAGGCTTGTTTATATTGCTAATACATGAAACTTAGAGTTGTGCCAATTATTAAACCAAATGGTTATGATTAGGGATGTTCAAGATCCTATTCAATCTGCCCAACCCAATCGGTTCAACCCATTCTATTTTATCAGCTTGGACCATTTAAACCAACTTAATTAAATAGGTTGACATATTTACTTGTGAGTATCCAATTTAAATCTTGTTTCATTCATTTATACTATTATAAGCATCTAAACCAAAAAATAAATTATGAATAATTTGTGTCATTTTGATAGGATTATGCCTAATACACTATAGGGAAAAAATTCCACTAACATATATAATGGACGAGGGATATCTGAAATCCTTAATACAAATCCTTACATTTTTTATCTGTCATTAAAGCCAACCATCTAATCCAATCTCATCAATATCAATTGGATCGGATTGACTCTTAAGCTCTTATTAGATTGGAAAATTCAAAATCCAATTTATATTCAGATGCAAATTAACTTAATATTAACAATTCTGGACTGTCGATGTCTTTTGCATGTATGTTTCCTTTTCCTCACAAAAAAAGAACGAACGGGGGTAGAGCTAAAAAAGACAACATGGACATGCCAAATGTAATGTGATGTCAAGCAAATCATTACAAAGAAACAGATAAATTATATTATCAAGAGTGAAATCAAAAGCTTTTATCGACAGAAATTGCTTTGAGGTACAATTAGCCCATGAAAATGAGAACAAAACTGCTCCTACGTCCAAATCTTCCCAAGGAAGCCAATTGGTTTCCCAAACAGCACAGCACCCGTTACTCCACCAAGTAGGGTATAATTCACAATGTAACACTGGTTGGATTGATCATCAGCTAGCAGTTGGGTAAGTTTCTGGAGATGCTCACTGTCCTGGAATTCTTTTTGGTCGTGCAAATTCAGTAAAAATGACCCATCCATCAAGAACCTGCCTCACACAAATATATAATTAGAAAGTATAGCACCAGTTATATTCCTATAATGTATTAAGAACATATGCAATCAAAATAAAAAAGTACAAAGAAGATGGTTGTTGCAAGACATGCAGACCTGTGCATCCATCCCTTTCACCCCTTTCTCGGCGTCTTCTAAAGTGGCATAATTCACAAACCCAAAGCCCTTTGAAAATCCAGAATCACGGTCTATTACTACCTTTACTGAAACAAGAGAAGAAATTGTCAATGCATAACTATAAAACAAGGCAATGCCGCAAAAATTTGGAGCCTCAGATGACCAAATCCATGGCATATTCTTACACAAGGAACAATTATGACGATTGCTCAGAAATCTAGAACAAAAATACAAGCCGACTGAAATTATGACCGTGTGCTAATTTATATCTCAACCCAGACACCTAAATCCCAATCTTTTTGTGTTGCCTACACAGGTTCTATTGTTTTTGGAAGGTTTTATTTCATATTTTGTAGCACCATTCCCATTTTGTCCCATTCCTTTTCCTGAATAATCCCTGATTATCATCATACTTGAAAATCTTGCAGAGATGGTATGAAACTAGAACTATATCATTTACCAGAAATGAGATTCTCTTTGCACCTCCAAAACTAAACATGCATCAGTTCCGCCAAAATCTCGTTTCAAGCTTAAACCGCATATCAGTTTGTTTCTACAAATTTATATCCTAAAATATTTAACTACACAGTAAATCTGTCAACTTGCAACACTAATGAGACAGAAAAAGAAACTTCAAATCTTGATCATGAAATTTAGTTGGGGGCTACATGAAGTTGAAGCAATGAAATCCAAATGAGCAAGGCATATGAGAACCCCGTATTACCATTAACCACTTCACCAAATTGAGAGAATGCTTCGTTAAGTTTTTCAGGCGTGGTTCTCTTGTTAAGCCCTGCAAGCACATTTGCAAGACAAACCGTATCATCAAAGCATAGTTATGCATACTCCAATAACCCAAATTGTAGTAGAAGCAAAACAAGTTTCTCTGCAACTGCACCCCAATGAGCATAATTTGGAGGTCCGATTTGGTTATCTAAAACAGCAGTATAATAAGAAACTAAACTTCTCACTCGCCTTTACAGAAGCCCAAATTTTGTTAATTATCAAACCTTCATGATATAGAAATTGGGATCCATTGGTTTATGGAAGCTCCAATCGTCACAGAAAAAAGTTTCAAGCTTTCTCACTATTCTCATAATGGTCACCACTGGTCATGATGAACCAGTTGAAACCAACGAACCATCTTAGACTAATTTTCTATTAACTAAGAAAAACCCACAAAGATTTTTAATGGGAAATTGTTACCAGCGACGAAGAGAGTGGTGTTAGGTTCTGCGGTAGCTTTATCACTGATGTTGTTGGAATCGGCAACAGAGGCATAAGCCGAGGACGCAGCAGTTGCAGCAGCTCTAGATTGAGAAGCGAAGATTGGAGTAGACAGAAATCGCCTTACAAGTCCTGCCCTCAGCGCCATTTCTTCTCTCTCTCAGTTTACCTTGCTCTGTCCCCAAAATTGAAGAAAAACCCTAAACCCCGAATTTTTTCATTTTTCAAAATACCAATTATTAAATAAAAAGCCTTTCTCTTTATTTTATTTTATTTTTTGTAAAGGGCAGTACTTTGGCGGCAAGAGGTTTAGACCCATTTTCGTCTTTCACGACCGACCCAGTAGCCAAGCTTCAGTCTCATGGCTTCTACTCCGAGCACGAACCAGACCATCCATGGCGATAACAATACCGACGTCTCCTACTTTCAGAAAACAGTAACTACTTTCTCTGCTTTTCCGCAACAAAATATGCCCTCGAATTTTTTTTTCCTTTCTTCTTACATATATTGTTTTTTATTTTGGGTTTTTGAATTGTGAAAGGTATGTTTGAACGATTGGTGGCTGATTAAAGCCGAAAACGAGATCCAAGGAAAGTGGCTAGCCGTCGCCGGTGTATCTTCTAGAAAGTGAGATACATTGATTTGATTCTAAGTTCTAGGGTTTCCTTCTCTTCATTTCTCTTGTTATTGTTTTTGAAGGAATTAATGGCTATGGTGGTATTGATCAATTTTAGGGAAGGTGCCAGGCGAGTGTTCTCCTCTGCACCAATAGCCAAAAGATTCGATGTTTTCACTCTCGAGACGGTGGATGGCATATGTGTAGCCATCAAAGGGTTCATAAACAAGCAGAAGACTACTGAAAATGGGTTTCCATCTGAGGTAGTACTTAAAATTGGCTTCCATTCTTGCTCTTTCATTGCTGATTGTGGTTTTCATTATGAACTTTTAAGTTTTGAACAATCAAGTAGTGGTAAACTGAGTTTTTTTTATAAAAAAAATACGGAGTGGTAAACTGAGTCAATTAGCTATGAACGTAAACAATCGGTATAGATTATGGAAATTCAAAATTTCTATTTTTGTTTTTGTTTTACAAGTATAAGTGAATGATGAGCACTAAATGTGTCTGTACCCAAGTACTTGGTAAGTTTATTGTGCTGAACGATTCGGCTGTTGCTTTTCCTGTCATGCTACAAGGCCTGCGTTTGTACACTCCATTCACTAAAGGAATGCTAACCAGTATAAGGGTGCATTGCAAGTCGTTGTTGCTGCATAACATGTTCACTAAAGTTAGAAATTTAACATTACACCTTGTTTTATTTATTATTTTGGGGCATTTTTGCCTTTGATCCTAAGCAGGTTTTCAGTCATTTTCTGTTTGGCTTTCCTCCTTACTGGGAACAATGGGTTGCAAAGTTCTTTGGTGGAGACTCTACCACTACTTGTGCGGTTTCTGGAAGTATTTCTGATTCAGACAAGTTAGCTACTCAGCCAGGAAGTAATACATATTTATAAATTACTTAAATGTCCAACGTGCACTATTCATGCCTAAATTTTTATATAATTATCTAACATTGCTGTTTTGAATCTTTTCTCTCTTGCTGTGGAGTGGCTGCAGGCATAAAAAGTTCTATTCCGTCTTCCTTGCATTTTGATCAAGAAGAAACTCCAGTTGAGCAGGTCTCTTGTGAAGATAGGCATGATGTTGAAGTCCCAAAACAGTTTTCTTCTGAGCTGCCTACGAATGTCGCTGTTGATGACTTCCCTAAACATGCTGCTGAGGAGGAAACAGGCAGAGCAAATATTGGAGCAAGTGATGTTCAGTGTATTGGTAAACCAATGCATCTGGTAACCAATCAGAAGAAACCGGTATCCAGATGCTTTATGAAGCATAAAAGTACAAATTCTAGTCCTGCATCAGAGGCCTCTGAGAGCCTTGGTGGAGTATCAGGTGCAACCACTCAGTCTGGGGGGAAAGTGGACATATCAGAGGAATATCCAAGCTATTCTGCAGGCAGAGTGACCAGAAGTTTGTCAAGAAATTTAAGTAGAAAAGGGAAAAAGAAGAAAATGGTGGGATGTGGCTTGAACTCTGAGAAAAATACAGTGGATTCTGTTCCAGCGGTGTTCAAAACTTTGAGCAAAAGTTTACAAAATGATAATTGTAAAGTAGGAGGGAAAAGTATGTCCCATCCTTCAGATTTTGAGTTTCAAGAACCAAATTATTTGAAAGTAATAAAAAAACTTGATTTTGGGTGTCTAGAAGATGATTTGCAGCATACTCACAATGCAAAACAGGGACAGAATTGTGGAAATATTACAACTCAAGGTACCATGCATACAAGCTTGTTTATCCTTTGGCCTTGCTTGAACTAATCAAACTTACAACTTGAATATTGCAGTAGGAGGAGAAAGTGATGGTAAAGAAGAAAACACATTCAGGAAAAGAACTAAGACAAACACTACCTTTTATACAAAGGTAAGCTGGTTATAGTAATGCAAGTTAATTGTCGTATGTCCCCAGTAGTCTAGTGATTATCACACATTCATTGTCCTTTTAATGACTGTTTAGGAAAATCCCACTCTGGAGGTGAACAAGAAAGTGTCTATTGCTTCTCCTGAATCTTTGAATATGAGACGGTCCAGAAGCGGTGAGTGTGTGTGTGTGTGTGTGTGTCTCTCTCTCTCTCTCTCTCTCACACACACACACACAGATTCTGCCAATTGCTGCTTATATAATCTCAAATTGAAAATACATAAGCCGAATTATAGTTTCCATGGCTAGTTACATGAGGAAACTTTGTATGCACACTTGTTCAAATGAATGGTTCATAGCATTTGAAACATGTCTATGTTGTCTTTTCTATTTTCTGTTATTACTATAATCTTTGGGAGAAATTGAAACATCAGAGTTTCAATTTGTACTGTTCTATTTAACTTTTCTTGTCCCATACCAAGTTAAATTGATTTTGTCTGTCACAGTGTGTATCAGCAAATAATGATTTGCCTGTGTTGCAGGGAGACTACTTCTACCGACCATGGAATTCTGGCGCAATCAATTGGCAATCTATGACTCGGTTTTTCCCTGCCTTCTTCTTTCTTTTTCTTTTCTTTTTCCCTTTTTCTTCTTGTTGGGCTTCTGTGTGGTTGCTTGGCTTTCACCTGCACCTATGCGTGCACAGCCCACTGGCAATAGGCAGGCACACTCACTGGAGGAGAGCTGGAAATTGAAGTAGAATATGTTGACATTCTTACAACTAGAATTTAATTTACCAAAATGTTATAACACAAAAACTCTTTTTAATTCTTACCACACTATGTAGGGGGTTGGCTACGTGATTTCCTTTTATGTTCATGTTTACTTTCATAACTTTAAAGTATGGCGTATTATTAGCTTGAGGATACATTGACTCTCTCTCTCTGGTGGTATATTCAGGATCGTAAGGTTACTGGAATTCAGGGAGGCCTACCTGTAGTAACAACATCAAGAGGTTTGTCCCTTATAAACTGTATTAGACTGGCACCTCTTTTCCTTCCTTTATGTGAATAAGAATGACTTTAGCAGCGTTTATTATTTTGTCACCCTCTTTACCCCCTCACCCAAAATTTTGCTTTAAAGTCATTTTAACTTGATGCTTAGAATATTTTCTGCTTCTTTTTTTGGTTACTATAATACCTGCTGATGATAGTGTGTCTCGCTTTTAGGCAGTAGCTCTGGGTCTCAGAAACGCAACAGACGATAGAGGTTGAGTTTCTGGCAGAGCTTTAGACTTGTTTCATACCTCTTGTAAGTATGGTATCTACTGTGAGCTGAATGTGATCTCTTAAAAATTCAAGTTACCTTGAAAATAATCACCAATTCAAAATTCAGCTTTGTCATTATAATTTATAGACTTGCACACAGGTAACAGCTTGGAAATAAAGTGAAGAAGCATATGGCAATAATTTTGTACAGATTCTACCGCAGATGAGAGAAAGAGGATGAGAACTCATGTCAAGCTGACCTCTACTCAATTATAACAAAATTTTCAAGCTGCAGTAGTATGTATAGAAGACATAGAGCTTGGGCTCTTCCCGTCAGAATCGGCGATGTGTCTATTTTTGTTCATGCTAATCCTTTTAGCTTATCCAAGTTCGAATGTAGCATTGAATCCAACTTTACTCTTGGAGCATCTAGGTGGTAGTTTTTGCTTATTTCGGATGTGTTATTTTGCTTTTGGTGATACTGGCTCAACATGTTAGGCCATCTCCAATCATAGACCTAAATATAGTTCAGGCTATAATTTTAGCACTCCAAAATATTAATTAATTTTTCTTTTTGTTTTTCTATCTCTTGCCATGCATGGTTATATTGGAAGGCCTTCCATATTTTATTATTTTGAGAAAAATTATGGTATAACACTCATATATTCCACTACTATGTATTGTTTAATTTAATTAAACAACTATTTTGAGGCCCAAAAAACAAAAAAAAACGTTCCAAAAGGTTCTGACCTCCAACGGTCAAAACCAATTTATATATATATATATACACACACACACATATATAAATTGTTGTTTCAAAGTATGGCTCAAAATTGTTTCCAAAAATACATTTATACTTGTTTGTCTTTTTTCATTTTGCTTAAAATTGTTGTTTCAAAGTGTGGCTCAAAATTGTTTTCAAAAATATATTTTTGTGTTGCTTTTCTTATACTTTGATTTTTATCACAAATAAAATAATAATAAACTAAAATAACAAGTTTTGAGTTTTAGCCCTTAGCCCCTAGCCCTTACCACCATTAGAACCACACAAAAATTGAGATGTTAGATTTTGTGTATAGTACCATTTTGAGGGGCTAAAACAGCACCTAGCACCTAGTCCCTTGCCCTTGCATTAGACATGCTTTAATATCAACTCTTGGATCGCAATGCGCAGATGTTCCCCTGATCACGCCTATGTGAGATACTTCCTCTTGGTGGGTAGAACATGCGTTTAGCCTGCACAAAAAATTGGCATGAGCTATAACTGGGCTACATTTTAAGGGTTAGAGATGAGTTTTGCATGTTTTAAAGGCTACATATGGTATACTGCCCATAATTGAAGATGGCCTTAAGTGATACGTGGAATATAAAATGAATTTTCTCTAATGTAGGCGCTTGGGGTTGCTGATGTACAAAATTTAATTTGTCCATTTTCTTGGTCTCAATTTTTTATTATAAACATCATGGGATTTGTGATTGAGCCATTTGAAGTAATATGAGATAAACTTATATTAACGGCTCACAATCAAATAATGCATCAAGTGACTCACAATCACCTGACGACTGGTGATAAGACTACTTAAATTCCAACATTTCAACGGAACCAAGGACCCAAACTTTTTATATATCTATATACACATTTGGTTAAATTTTTACCCCTAGGTCCTAGACCCCTAGTAAAGAGTAGTGCCTTACTTAAATCACAAAAGTTCATTCAACCCAAAAAAATATTCACAAAAAATTAAGCTCAATCGCTCAGACGTCGATAACACTAAAATCTAACGGTCCACATTCATTTTCGTCTGATGCCAAAGTCGAAAAACACAAAACTCGCCACATCATCAATCCTCGACGAAACACAATCCGAACTACCGCTATTCGATACTCACAGTATCGTCGATCCAAACATAATCGACGGTCCAGGAAAAAACCAAAACATCGACGCGGATCGCCACTCTGAGCCGTCGATTGAAACCCAATCCAACCGTCCACACGTTCCCCCCAAATCTCAAATAAACAAACACAAAAACCACATCCCAATATAAAAGCCCACCTTCCCACTGCCTCAACATAGAAGTCACGAGACTCACACAGAGTTTGAAAATTCGATCCAAAATCAAAACCCTAGTTTGGCAGATATGTCGGGTAGAGGGAAGGGAGGCAAGGGTTTGGGCAAAGGAGGAGCCAAGAGGCACAGGAAGGTGCTGAGGGATAACATTCAGGGCATCACAAAGCCTGCAATCCGTCGTCTTGCTCGTAGGGGCGGCGTGAAGCGTATCAGTGGCCTCATCTATGAGGAGACACGTGGCGTCCTCAAGATCTTCCTCGAGAATGTGATCCGAGACGCTGTGACCTACACAGAGCACGCCCGGAGGAAGACGGTGACCGCCATGGATGTCGTCTATGCTCTCAAGAGGCAGGGCAGGACTCTGTACGGGTTTGGTGGTTAGGATTTTTAGGGTTTCGAATTGGGAATTGTAAAGGGGTTAATTGGTGTTGTGGTTGTTGGGTAGTTAGGAAGCGGTTGCTTGAAGTTGATGTACTTCTAGGTTGATTATGAAATGAAAATCTACTTGTTTTCTCAATCCATTTTGTCATCTTTGATGGTTTGCATGAATTGCAATTGTTAATTTTGATCTCTTTGGTTTCCAATGGTGAAATTCCATTTTGCAAACACTGGTAGCTCCCTAGCTTTCTAAAGTCAAGAGTTGGTTTCAGCTACTAGAAAATGGGCTGAATGCCAATTATTGGGCCATTTGGGTTTTTTAAGTGCTTGATCTAAATCATCGGAAAAGCTATAATGAGGTCTTAAAGTGAGGAGGTTAGTTGAGGTTGTCAAATTTCACTATCAACATAAAGAAATTATGGGACTTAAATATTTTAAATGTTTTGACGGTCGGATCGGTCTCCTCATTTTAACTCTTTATTGTAGAACTTCCCCTAAATCATTTTAAATTTTGATAAGTGGGCCAAATTCATATAATTCTTTCAAAAGTCCATGCTCTTTTTGGGGTTACAAACTCAGTATAAATTTGGATAATTGGACCAAGTTTTTATAATTCGATCATACCCTGTGCCCGGTTAGCCCAATGGGTTCAAGTATTTATGAGTTTGGGGTTTTCTATACACGCCCAATTGTCTAAAAACAGAAAATTAGTAGGGTGTCCTTGGAAGCTTACCCAATTTTAATAACATACATGCTTGAACCCGCTTCCCTACTGGATCAATGTTTTTGAATGGATTGTATGAACTTGGCCCAGTTGCCCTTTGGGCTCCCATTCATTCATTTGCCTATTTTCTGTCAAAATTATGAACACAAAATCAACACTAACTGGAAGTATTCATGGATTAAAAGATCGGCCATTCTGATATATCGGGGCTACAATTTACGAATTTTTCAGGAATATATCGTTATTGTTTTAAAAACATTGAGTTTTGGAACACGGAATTTTAGAGTAAATTTTTTGTAGATGTTATGTTATAATGGATGTATTGAACAAATAAACTCAAAATTTACTAAGTATAAAATATACATATGATGAAATATAAATGGTATGTAATGCGCCTTGATGAAAAATGTGAAAATAAAACGTTGATTAGAATGAATAAATCATGCATAAAGATAGATGTTTTTGAAGTTATGCGAGTAGTGAACTGGATGGATTCTTCATATTAATATATTATAGGGTTATGAATATGATTTAATGGCTTGTTTAGTTCATAGGTGTTCCAATTAAGCTTTAATTTCCTCCTATTTAACTTAATTGCATACTATAATAATGATTAGATATTTTTGGGCAATTTGCATCAATTGCCTTCAAAACTTTTGAAAATTTTCTGGATTCTGTTATGGGTATCTGAAAATAGTGACAATGTCGACAACATATCTGGGATATATCACTGATACAGGAGAAGATATGACCTTACCCCTCAATATCAATGTCGACACTTGAAAATCATGATATATTGATGTATCAGCCGAAACTTTACCTTGGAAGTATTTGATTTTAAAAAGGAAACCCAAATATAAGTGAAGAGGAAATTGAGCTAAGCTAAGTTGAAATCCAATATTTTATTTTACTTTTTCTTTCTACAGTTATAAGCTCTAACCTCTTCTTTTAGTGATGTCTTATTAGAACGTGAGTATCTAACCCAATTTATCATCTCAATCGAGATTCGAGTCATGAAAATGGTTACTTTTCCATAATCATATCCACTTTATATCATTTCACAATAAAGTTCTTCATTTTATTTGATCCAGCAGGTTTCACGTAAATCATATCAATCAAATAAAGATGAATTGGTCTCAACTCAACAATCAACATTGTAAGGTTAGAGCTTTAATAATTGATACACTCTGTTTCCCCATATGTGCACCATCCAAACCACACATCGGATGAATCCAATGCGATACATATTCTTTCAATGAAACAACACAACCGAAACTTGAAAGTGTACAACGTTTTGTCTTTTCGCCGCCTTCATGTTCATATGCATGCATACGTGACAATAATCAATCTCTGTCAGTTTGAAACCAAGAAAGAAAAAAACCTATTTGATTCCATTTTCTCTTCGACAAATGGAACTTTGCTTACTTTTGATTCTCCGTGATCCGCTGAATCTCCAACATGGAAGTTCAATTATATCAAGTTTGGTATGTCCCAAAAACAAAACAAGAACAAGGATTTTCACACGGCACCAGCTCAGAGCTATTCGTGTATTTGTGCAATGCAAACCCTAGGAAACTTATTTTCAATCAATTAGGTTTAGGAGGTGATATATCTTATGCAATCATTTTCACTGATACTATATATGTCTTTTCCACCTTTTCATTGTTCTTTATATATGCAACGTTACGTGTCCATCAATTTTTGTCAAGAAAAGGATCACAAAACGAATATCTATTTCCATTCTTCTCTTGGATAATTGAAAATGTGATTACTTCCAAATCTAGGATGTCCATTGAATCTAGCTACTAGCATTTAGTTCAATGATCATGTTAACAAAACAAATAAAACAGATTCACATTGTTATATAATAAACTAGTTTAATTGACTACATTAGATATATAGACATTGTTGCTTTATTGACCACGTTAAGTTTTATAAGTTCAATAATTGTCTAACATGATATCAGAGTTATCGTTTCAAGGTAATCGCTTCAAAAGTATGCAAGTGAAGCAAAGTACTAGCTTGACATTTATTGTTCACGCATTTCCAATTTTGCTCTTGGGTTCAAGAGTTGTATAAGAACAACTCAAAAGGAGCTGAAACTCCCTTGTATTAATTCCTCCATGAACTTCACGAATCTCTGATTTGTCCATTTCTATTGAAACACAATTTCATAGGTACGCTAAATAAAATAATCATTTGGTTCAATGAAAACAGAGATCTAGGATACTTTTTCTTATTTTATGTCGGTCGGTCTCTTGGATTCGTTGGTGGATATTGTATAGGTATTTGATCCCAAAAAAAAAAAAAAAAAAAAACCATTTTCTTGGTAGACCAACACTCATGACTATGTTGGAGTAATTATAAATTTATATATTAAATATTTAGAAAATTAATATATTATGGTACAAAACTAATTAACACTTAATTCAGAAAATTAAAATAAAATAAAATTCATTAATTCTTTTTTTCATATTGAAAAAAATTTAGAAATGTTGAGGCCCAAAAATCCAAGGGGCTAAGCCCAAATTAATTCCTGGCCCAGCGCAAATAAGAGGGTACAAAAAAAGGCTTAATCGGAACAAAAGAGAATTCGTAGGATCCAATAATACAAGCCACAAGCCCCATATCACGCCAAGCAAGCACGTGCAAAGGGGCCAAGAGCATGCCAACGTTACAAAATCACGCTCGGTGTCACTTGGCCCAATTATAGCCTATCACGGCATAATAAAATTCAAGCACAAGCATATGCATCATGCAAGAAAAGGCATCATCCTAATATCAAGCCGTGCCACGAGCTTAAGTGGGCCCAAGCAACAAAATTAACCGGGGCTTACTGAGAAGGTTGTGGTATGGAAGGGAACGAGCAATCACAAGGCCCATTGAGGGTTCAAGGAACGTAAGTTTTAAGCCACTACTCGAGCCCGTTCCTGGCACCTAAACACATAGGTTAGCACGAGAGAAGAGAAAATGGTCTCATGCTTTAAAATATCCAATGGCCTACCATAATATCTAGCCCAACCCACATAAATAGAATGCCCAAGATTAACAAAGCCTTTCCAGCAGTCTGACGGAGACCCATCGCGTGATCAGACCCACAACCCAATACCATATACACAAGTCCAGCCCAGCAGCTTGCAAAAAGTCTGGCGCTAAGTCCCATTCCCATTAGAATCCCAAATAGCTGTCACAAGGAAGCCATAGCAGGACCAGAGGAAACCCGCGGAGGTGAGGGGAGTGTCCGTTGGATAAAAGGCTTCATCTCTCCTCTTTTCCTCTGTAAGCTATGTCTTGAAAAAACCATAAGAAAAGCAGGTGGCGCCTTCCCCTCTATGGGAAGGTCCAGCCGCGTCAAACCATTGGAACCACAAAGGGTTCCTTAACCAGGCTTCTTGGATGGAGAAATTCATCAAGAAGGATAAGATGGAAGAGGGCAATGACAAAAGAGGGGAAAGTTGAGACAAAATTAGGGTTCTTCGTGGCTATAAAAGGGGCCTCTTCAACCCAGCAAAGATCATCAATCCAGAGCCTGACCAAGCTTTGTCAAGCTACCTGGAATTTACTCAAGCCACCCAATCTTTCTTCTTCGTTGGATTTTATCTCTTCCTTTAGGATAGAAATTGTTCTAGTTATTCTCTGCCTTGCTTCAGATTTTTCACTCTCAGTAGGAAACCCATGCCTCTCTCTCTCTCAAATTGCTAAACTTGTAAAAGCCTAGCTCCCATGTCACAGGCTCTTCAAGCTAAGTCATTAATTGATTTTATCATACTTATTTGGCAATTAGTGAAGAAAACCTGAGGGTGTTCTTCTAAGGTTTATCAAATCTTTCTAGAACTCCTTTTGGAGTTCGGTTCCAGAACTCGGACATTTGGGGGGAGTTTCTGTGCATTTTCTTCTTACGGCAGCCCAAGCCCAAGCTGGAACGAAAAGACCCCTACAAGAAAATTAATAAGTGATATGGTTTTGGGGCCACATCATGCATATGGGTCCTTTTAGTCTAATTTGGAACATGTTGGAAAGTGGCAACTACCAACTTGTGGCCATGAATGTCTCAATTCTCATACTCAGATATAAAGAGTGTATGGACCAAAGACGAAAGACTGAACAAGAAAGCAACTTATTAGCAGCTGCTTTGTTCGACGTACGACTAATCATAAATCTTATGTTATGTGCCCATACCATGCACATGTGGTTCATATTGAAGTTAGCTATAGCCTTAGCTTTTTCAATCTACTATCAATTCTCTTTTCTTATAGAGATAGGAGCCATAATATACTAAATTCACACACATTACATAGATACTAAGACTCGGACTCAAAATCTTTTTTGTGAGAATAATTACTTCAAATCATTACACCATCGGATCCTTTATTTGCCTAACTAGTCAATTCTTTGACTAAGCGGACACCTTGCAT